AGTCTAATGAATGCATATACTTAAACAACGTTTCTCATTAGGATGTTGTCGGAAGCTCACCAACTAAATATTGTAGATACGTTTTGAAAGTTACACGAAAAGGTTCCCAAGGGTTAATTTAGCGTGTAATGACCCTTATAACCACAAAACATTGTTTTGCATAATTGGCGATGGTTCTATAAACCAGCAATAAATTAAGATCGTGTTTATGCATTTTTCAAATTTTTAAGGCATCTAACATATGTTGGATTGCAAAACAATCTACACTACATATAGTCGACCTTGAGTTAGGTTCTCCTATTTCTTAATTTATAATTGATCATTAATTAATTGGAAAAATTATTGCCTACTGCGTAGTGAATACAGAAAAGACAATATTTTCAAGTCATGAAGAAATTTTATTGGCAATAAAAATTATGATTTTCCTTAATCGACAAAACATGATTTCATAATTAAATTTAATGCGAGGCTATATATATTTTGTTGGAATATAATTATATAACATCTATCTATTGTTATTGTAAAATATTTTTATCGATATGGTTAATTTTTCATCAGAATATATTGTATACATTCAAGGAAAACATAATTAATTCATCCTTTATATTTTCTAGCAATTTTATACGTCTTGTATTCTATGGATATCAACAGATGCATACTTATACTACAACCTAGTATGAACATCTAAACTCCTATTGCATAACGTGATTTTGGCTTGTAGTTATTGTCACCAAAGCAATTACCAAAATTAATTGAATCATCTTAGGTGCCTTCTATTTATTAACATAATATTATAGAGATGAATGTATTGCAATAGTAATGTTATTAATGTTTTAAAACAGAATAATAGTTTACTTGTGTTACATAAATAGTAAGTCACATGAAGATATTATTAAATGTATTACCTATCCCTGTTATTAATAGAACACTCCTATAATAATTTGTACATATTATCATTCAAGTATATGATGAAATGCATCTTGATAAGATTATTGAAGACTCGTATATCGATTTGAGATGGTTTTTCAGTCTTTACAGTAATTTTTGTATTTAAAAAAAAAAAAAGTAACTAAATTCCTTGTAAAATATATCAATACGAGTATTTTAATATTTTCAATTCATAACTATTTTTAATTTTAATTTGAATTAATAGTTTCATTAATTTCCATTCAGTTCAAATAACATAAAAAGTCAAAAAAAATTATTTTATACTATACTTCGTATATATTCGAGATAACTAAAAACTTTGAACAATGATACTTAAGATAATATAATAAAAAATTGGTATTTCTTTAAGTAAAAATACAAAAAGAAATCATATTGTGCAATTATTTTTCAATATTATATTCTTACCATATTTTATAAATTTTTATAAAAAATTTAAAAACTAGACTTTTTATACTACTCAATCAAAAACAAATATTGGTGAAAAAAATACTCAGAAAACTCCAATAATCCATTTGCAAAAATTGCTATATTTAAGACTAAAATACACTTTTTTGAAAGAATTTTTTATTCAAAAAGATTTATAGAAGTATTAATTTTGTTAGACCATCATCTCTTTGATTTCACACTAAGATATAGTTCTAATTAAAATACAAATGATTAAATAAAATTGAAAATGTATCTAATGTGATTATGTGTTAGCTTAAAATACACAAATGTTAACAGTTTTATGTTATATTATATGTATATTAAAAAGAATTTATAAAAAAAATTAACGAATTATTTTTGATTTAATGTTTTCAGTTAGATTAATAATAAATAACAGATTGTAAATTAAAAAAAAATTAATTTGGTACTGTTGAGTTTTTATAAAAGTCATGTCAAGTCTAATTAATTTTAAAAAATGTCTTCAATAATTATCAATTATAACCAATTTAATTCTATATTTTACAGGAAAAATTAGAAAAAAAACCGTAATTATGTATTAATTTTTTTTTTTTTTTTTTTATTTATTTCGCAAGCTTTTTTTTAATAAAATATTATTAGACAAAATAATATAATTTTATACATAATTAATCATTAATAATAATATTTGAATGAAAATAAATATATTTTAAAGTTTATTTTAAACTATCTTTACTTTCAGAATAGTTTTTGAATGCACTAGAACTATTGTTTATGATTTGTTTTGTTCATTAAAAATTGTTACGATTCCATTGTCTATAAATACCTACATTTTCTCTAGAGTATAATACATATTTTTTAAAACCCTAATACTCGGATTTTTGCAAAAAAAAAAAATAATGAACATTTCATAGAACAATATATTATATAGATACAATACTCTTTAGTTTTAGCGTGCATATTATATAATATAGGCATACGTGTACCGATAATCAGTCAAACGCATTTTCAACAATAATAATTGCGTTCCGAGTATAATCATCATAATCGTCTGTTCACGGCGAGAGTGGAATACCCTACGTTCGACAATCCTCTCAACAGAAATCATGATCTTATCCAACGTACAGAAAAGGCTATTGATCCAACGTTTTAATGGTCCAGTATTATGATTAATTCGTGCATAACCTAAAGCGCGAAAAACCGGAATGCGCAAGGTGTCCGTTGGTCCTCATACGTGTATTACATTGTACACACAGCTCTCCGTAATCTTTTTACGTTTTTTTTTTTTCCGGTTGTTCAGCAATCCATCCGAAACATTGACCTCGCCAGTATTCCGTTCTCATGCAAATGTACCACAGCCACCTTAATTATTGCACTATTGTCCAAAATATATAAATACGTACGACACAAGTTGGTATGATTTTTACAAAACTCTTTTCATGTATGCTATTTTTATTTTTATTTATTTTTTTTTTTTTTTTTTTTATAAACCACGCAAATCACCAAGAATATTCTGTAACGTTTGCATTATTTATATAATTTACGATAATGTATTATAATAATCGTTATTATTGTTACTATGCGTATGATACATGGAGCTTCTGGTCACGTTTATCGGGCTGAAGGTTGAGACCTTGTCCTCGACTTGAGGAGGCCTCGTCTGCGGTACCTGAGGCAGCCGCAGAACGTGATAACACCTCCGACTGTGTGACACTTTAAATGGATTCATCCTGTGTAGGTATAAAGGTTTTTTTTCTACATTCACAGTATGTCGGAATGTTGGGGGACCGCTCCTACCGATATACCGCTAGCGGCCTATTTAAGTTCGCGACAGTTCGTTTTGCTATTAAACAAAAAAGGATTACATACAAAAAACAAATGCATTATGTTGTTCTTGGATATTGATAATAGATCCGGTTTCATTAATTTCTCTTCAAATAAAATGACATATATAATGCAGCAAGTTTTTGAGGTCAGAACTTTTTGAAAGGGATATAAATAAAGTAAAAACTTTCAATAAAATAAATTGATATCGTAAAAATAATTTGTATATTTCGTTCGAATTAATTTAGTTAATACCATCAGTATTCCAGAGATTTTGAGCGTTTAAATATAAAAAAAAAAAAAACGGATAAAACTGTAAAAAAAAAATGTCAAACAAAATTATATTATATGAATGAGAAAAACATGTTTTTTATCACGATAAATAAAATATGAAAAAATTATTTTCAAATAAATGCGTGATTAAACGATGAACAAAAATAAATGAAATTGTTCTTTTGCATATCACAAACGTAAACCAAAGACGATTAAATCCCTGAAATAATATATGATTAAATCCATTTCACATATGATTGGTACATTTTTTTTTTAATAATGACCATTGAATAACAATTGTAAAATATTTTTAAAAAACACGTGATTGTAATATAACTGAAAACATTTTTTAAATATAGAATTTATGAAGCGTATCCGAATTGTTAAGGACTTTAATTTCATTAGGTCTAGGTCTAAAATTTCGTAAAAATATTCGTACTACTTCACTTGACTAATCATCTGTAACACGAAAACTGCATGCTTGATTGTTCAACATGATATCAAAAACATCGTTTGGTTATTAAGATGGAAATATTATGTAAGTGGTTAAGTTTAATGTTATTAGAAAAAACATTTTAACAAGGGGCGCATAAAATCGAACGAGTAAATTGAAATACCTTGATGAACAAACTGTTAATGATATCCAAAATCAAATTTTGATGATTTAGAAAAGTAATTAGTTTATTTGTTTAAATACGTTCTAATTTATTTATTCAAAATATTTTTACTTGAAGACATTTTCATAAATTTATTTTTTATTTATTACAAATATAATGATTTTTCACAACAACTTTTAGATGATATATCATTTCTAGATGAAAATTATTATAGATTAATATTGTATTCTTAATTACAAGTTATAAGTGAATAGCAACACTATTTTTTAAAGAGTTTATAAATTACTAAACAAAAAATATTCTTACTAAAAAACGTATTTTAATTTAAAAACATTATATTGCTTAATTAAGAATTGTACAGTGACTATATTATTAAATATCTGTTCATTACGCAACACAATATGTTATTTATAAACAATGTTCAGTTATATTTAAGAATAATTTTTTTTTTAAATTAAAAAATGCACGTTTATTACTTACAATTATATATTTTTTGAGTTAAGAAATATAAACCGGAAGGTAATTAACACGATGCTCAGTTATAAGTAAACAAGTATATTGTTTTCAAAACATATCTTAATATGACTCGTCAATAATTATGTATTATATTTTAAGCACGCAATTATTTTACTTCGTCCATAGAGCATGTATACACTCGTGTATATATATATATGAGTATGTGTCACAGTAAACCGGTGTGTAAATTATTAAGTTATAACATTTTTAATTCATCATCCATCGACGATGGCGATAATTTAATCAATTTCAACATAGAGACAAAATTGAACACTGTCAAATGAGTATGCGGAACGAAAGAGAAAAAAATGGGAAAAACTACGTCGTTTTCGCACGACGCATAAGATTTTTCATAATACAATATTTATATATATATATATATACATATACCGTACAAAAAGATAGCAAAACGTTACTTACGGTTTCGTTCGATAGTTGACTTTGTAGTGTATACCTTAATGCAACAAGTGTAGGCAGCCGAAGAAAGATTTAAGGATATATTTAAATTGAGAGAAAAACGAAAAAAACGGATTCGAGAGAAAAATCCGTCGGTCTGTTGCGGTCGGTTACAAGAGCGCTGAGCACATGAGTGTTCGTATGCACGAAATGTTATTTATCCGATGCGATAACGGAGAGGAGAAAAAAACAAAAAAAATGAAAAAAGGAAAAAAGAACGACGTCGTAGTTGTACGGAAACAACACGCAACAACGGACGAGAAATGGGTATGACACCAAACACGGACCAAGACGCGCGTCCGACTGACGGACTGTTCGGACTCGGGAGTTAATACTTCTCGGGGAGCCCCTACTCGCGCGCGCACTCTGCACCCTCCCCACGGCACAACGAACTGCCCGCCGCCGATGACGTTACCGCCGCTGCCACCACCGCCGTCGTCTTTTCGCGCGAACCACCGTGAATTATTACAAATAGTTTTAAAAAAGCACCGGGGGGGATGTTTTGAAATTAATTTTAAGGGCAATTAAAACGGCGGCACGGAAGGAAGACGATACTCGGCGGCGGAAAGCGAAAGTTTTAGTAAAACACATCTCGACGAGGTTCCCAATCTTCCGCGATGGCGGTTCGGACTCGCGCGGTGATCGCAGCACATCGGACGGGGCAGAATTAGGACTGGAATATATAGTATTTATCTTTCTCTCTCTGCTCGCAATAAAAATAATGCATAATATCAACGACTCGATAAGACTCCCGGGCACGTAGACGGAATTTTATTTGGCGGATGAGGGAGTCTATGAAAAAGTCACTCTCTCCTCTCCTTTCGGAACCTTTTACGGTAAATAAACAATATTTTATACAATTTTCGTCCACGTTCAAGATAAAAATACATTTTTCAAATGCAGAGTATTTCATTTTCTAATGGATTATCATTTATGGACAGGTATGGAAAAATGTCGGGGAATGGAATCCAGACCCTGTGGAACCCCCTAGAATCGTGCTTTATAAGAAAGGAAGAAAAACGTGCAAACGCGAAGTAACGGGCGTGTTGGACTTCGCAGAAATCCTTCGCAGAAACGGCGCATGAAGATGGTTGAGCATTTTCCTTGAGTATTTTTACTGCGCGTTAATATTTCTGCGAACCGCACTGTGATCCGGTGGGTGGGCGATAGGGGTTTGGTGACGAATACGAGTCACGAATACGGTATAATTATTATTATCGTTAATATAATTATTACTACTATATACACGTTCACGTAGTACCTATAAATGCGTCGTCCGGGGAATGTCGAAACGAGCGTATAATAATAAGTCCCTCGGCTCGTCATTCTACCCCATCAGTACGCCGAACGGGTGGGTTTCAATTTTCTTATCACTAGGTAATGGAAATATCCCTTATTTTATGCGTGGTATAATTTACCGCGGACACACGATTAATTACTCGGGATCACGCTGCGCATTTTAAAAGTTAAAAAACAATATTGATAACACCGAACCAAAAACCACCGTCATCTCACGGCTTCATCTCGTCAGCACAATATTTTGTTCGTTTTTTTTTTCTTTTTCTTTTTTATCTTTGTTTAATTTACCAAGTTAATTTTTATACAACAAACAAAAGGCAGTGTGGAATAAAAAACTCTGAAATTAATAAATAATCGGGAACACAAGTAGGAAAATCTGGCGAAATAATCTAATCGACGAGAGTATTGTACATAAAACAATATGTGCAACGAGAAATCAAACATTTACATGGAAAACGTAATAATACTATATAGAGTATGTGTTATATTATGTACGAGTAGGTACTCTCACATGTGAATAAACCCAAAATTGTTTTCTCAAAACATACATCAAAATCCTTTCATTTATACCGGAGTAAACATTATGATGCTATGTAGTGGACGACCGATTTTTCTCCGGACAAAGAACCACAACTTGAACTCGTAAAATGTATTATTATTTTCATAATAAATACTAAAAAAAAAAATGTATAAAAAATGTTTGTCAAAATATTACTATTATATTCGTAGTACGTAACGTACGATCAACAAACGTGGGGTTCTTGTACATAATATGTACGTCGTTCGTTCGCTGTCCAATATCACATTATATTGTTAACATTTCTCGTCTTGTCGCGTTTCATTACTAACTAACTTATATCGTAAATCATGACATTCGTTTAAGAAAATAAAAAATTTTTTTATACTTAATGAATGAAATTATAATTATTTTTTTCGGTCTATGATGAAAAATTGACTGTAGTCAATTTGCACCGAAATTGACCTAAAATATATACAAAATGTTTGAAATGCGTTTGTGATTTGTCCCAATACAAGGATATGTAATTTCCACCACCCTCAGATAGTAAGAAATAGGAATTTTAATTTGCACCAAAATTAAAATTTATTATTTTTTCGATAGTATTTTGATAGTACTTACATACTAGTTTCTATTTATCGAAATATAAGAAGCTAATAATATAGAATTTTAGGTTTTAAATTCTGAGCCATTATTTAGTTTATTTACACTGAGGTTTATACGGTACTTCAGTACTGACCTCAAAGCCACCTAATAAGAATAGTCAATAATTTATGATAAGAGTATAATAATTTCATTATTTTAGCCAAAAAAATGTTATTGTAATTCGAGTCTATCTAATCTCGACGTCGACGAGGATACCGAAAAATAATCGAAATATTATAATATCGAATATTCGATAATGGAACAAATAGATACTCATTATAGTGAAAATTATAAATTTTACATTCGACTACCTGTAGTGGTGCAAATTACATATTCAAAATGTAAGATGTCAAGTTTTTATGTCAAAAATCCAACATTATATAAATAATTAACTTTCTGATATTGGCTTAGAATAGATAGTCAATAAAAAATATCCAACAGAATTAAATATATATTCTAAGAGTTACAAGTTTATTATAAAGCATTATATTGAATAATACGATTTAAGAAAATGGTTAGTATTAATAATGTATTATAAAGACAGTTGAATACGAAAATTGCATTTCCTGTAAGAAATAATTGTTTTATAATTTATACAGTAAAAAAAAAAAAAAAACATTATTAGTAAAACGTAAATAAATACACAAATGTATGTAGTTTTATAAAATAAATTTTTTTGGTGGATAATATGTTGTGATTATTGTTATAGATTGTTCATTATCATTTTAAATAAACTATTATAATTAATAAATGGAATTACTCACTTTTTTACAATAAAAACCCTATCGACAATTTGGTCCAAATGAATACATTTTACAACAATAATTGTAAATTTATACAGAAATAATAATTTTGATACCAATCTAAAATAATGCACAAATAGTTGAGCAAATAATGTTTTTTTTTTATATATACAAGCTCAAAGTTAATATTAAAGCTCTGATTCATATATTATTACAAGCTAAAGACATATAAAACATTAACATTTTTTAAAACTGGAAATATTTTCAAATATAATATAATTTAAATAGGTATTACAATCAACAGAAAATGAAATATGAGTAACCTTATATTTTAGACAAATGTCTTTGATAATAGTATCTAATTGCGCAATCCAAGATTGTCTATTGAAAAATGATACCATATTATAATCGTGAACACTAAAAAGTTGGCACATTTAATTCTTTCGACATTGTCAAAATCTTCATAATTTTTCATTGATCCTGAAAAATGATCCATAGCTATTAAAAAAAAAAAAAACTTTATTTTACTAATATTAAAAGCGATAATTGATAAAATTCTAGTATTTTAGATCGTTAGTGAGTTTTTGAACAACTAACGAAATGCTACATCGATTTTGTTAAATATGAATGTGCCGTAAATTGCACAGTTATTTTTTTTTAAACTTTATACCAGGAAATTCGAAACAACATTTTCTAGAGCACCATTTGTAGTAATCAATTTCCAATCGATTGATGGGACAACATGTAACTATACTATTCCAAAAGAACCGTATTTCGGAAGAATAGAGTATAAAAAATCTCATCATTGTATTTAAATTGTGGTTCAAAATCAATTCGTTTAAAATCTTAAATATTCATCTGCTAAGGACGAAAACCATTCAAATGCTACTCCAAGTACCTATGGCAAATAACATATGTATTACATGCATTCAAATATGTATAAAGGATATTTTTTAAACAAATAATTTACTGTGATAATTGAAGCCTTTTGGTGTATTTTTTAATTCATTTTAAAGTTTCAAAACCTATTTTATAGCAATACATATATTTATTTAAAACTTTTTAACTTTATTTTTAATTTATGTATTTTATACTTTAAATCTTACTCTTGATTAAATGTTTTCCAATAACCATTTTTTTTTAAAAATATTTAATACAATTAAAAAAAAAAAAATTCGATACTTTTATTGGACTAAGTTGCAAAAAATTCGTATTTTTAAAAGCACCTTCCACCCATAAATTGTTTGATTAATGTTTCAGTGTATTTATTTATTCGCTTACTTACATAGAAGATATTATATTATATGATAAACATTAACTTTCTTTTCTTTTATAACGTTTTTCATATAACAGTTTTAATCGTATGTGACTGAATCTCTTCAGATATTTTCTCTAAGTAAATATGCTTACGTATTTTTATTTTTATTATTAATTTATTAATATACAAATAACACAGAAATATATACTTGTAATTCCAATATACATTAAATAATTGATGAACATTTTTAATTTTATGATTAAAACAAAAAAATTGTTTATGTTTATACTTATAACTTAGTATGAATGAGTACCTCTATATGAGTATGCAAAACAATTAATATTATACAATGCAAGTTGATTTTTATTTGTATAAACTTAGTTCACACTATTCGTTATTCATATAACAAAATATGAAACAAATATGTCATCTTTCAATGAAATCATTGAACAGTGACCCCATATAAATATGTCTTAGGTTATGAGTAAAAGAGGAATTTGTTGTTTTTCCATAATGTGAATTTTTTTTTATATTTCGAGTAAAACAAAAAATGTATTAGTTTTACCATGATGTGCATTATTGTTTTCTATGTGTCTGTATACACGATTTTGACCAGAAGAATTGCTTTGATAATCATAATCTTATCAAGTTTCTGTTAAGAATAATAAATATTTATTACTTCAAAGGAGATTATTTTACGAATTCCCCAATAGTTTTCTTAATAGTTGCAAAAATCTGACGAAAAATTACATCAATAAAAAACGAATATATATTTTTATATATTTACTATATATTATTTATATATACCTATTTATTATCGGTTTTTCAAAAAATCAAATTCCTATGTTCATCATAACTAAAAAAATAA